CACACACACACACACACACACACACACACACACACACACACACACACCAGTATGTGCTGCTTCATACAGTGGACACACATGCTCAGGTGTTGTGGTGACAAAGCTGTATTTATACACACTGCACATGAATAAAAATAAAATTCACACACACACACCGAGTTTCTCACATGATCGTGCTTACACTGCTCTGAGTAATCCAGTCAACAGAGGAAAGGGTTGTTGTCCAGTGGATCACACAGGGCCACTTTTAATCCAGCTCAGCCCTGATCGTAATCACTAAAACTACTGGCACATTTAGGAGATTGAAATTTGGACCGGAGGAATCCAAAACACACCGTCACACTCGCAAACACGCTGACGGAGAAAGAGATGGAGAAAGAGACAGAGATGGAGAAAGAGAAGGAGACGGAGACAGAGACGGAGACAGAGACGGAGGCGCGACGTTACCTGGTCGAGGAGGTTGAGTCGTTTGACGTAGGCCTCTTCAGTGTGGAGAAGCTCTTTGGCGATGTTCAGGAGATTCTGAGTCTCTGAGCACTGAGGGGAACAGAGAGACACCGAGGGTGAGGCGTGAAAACAAAGATACAAACATGTGAGCAGACACTCCATAACATCACTGAGGGAATCCTCCGGTTCAGCAGGATTTATCAGCATCAACAGAGTTCAAGGCAGACGGGCCAGAAAACATTCTTTGAAAAAAAATGCTAATGCGAAAAAAGTGTATGTGTATTACAAGACTCTCTGATTTTTCTTGTCTAAACTATTTTAAATATCAACACATTTAAATACATATTCACTACAGTCGACTAAAACATACATGTGCAATACACTGAAAAACTATCTTCTCCTTTTCATCTTAAAAATCTTTTTGGAAGAAAGAGTTCTTCAAGGATTGTAGAAAGCATGAGTGGTTAAAGGGAACGCCCACAATCCAATACACACAAACCCCCAAAAACTGTGACTGTGAACCATGATTGTTGTGGGTTACCCTGCACCACATCAGCCCCGGTCCTTCAGGGTTCCAAATGAAACTCTTGGAATAGAAATGGGGTCTCGGTAGAACCCCGTGAAATAGAGATTAATGACGTCAAGATGCGTCTCAAGTTGATCACTCAAATGAAATAAAACAAACTGCTCATGTCATTTGTCAGAAGATGGGTACTTCCCATCTTCCCTCAGCCCATTCGTCCCCGCCAAAGACTTAAATCCAAGTAAATACATCTTCTAAAAAGGCTAAATAATGAATTAAAACAGCTGGGCTCTGTCGTCTTCAGAACACAACACTCACACAGGAGTAAACTGTGGATCTGGTGCTCTAGTGAGTGTTTACAGCAGCAGGATGCTGCATGTGGCGCCGCCTCAAAATAAACTACAGTGCCCATGTTCCTTGTAATGAGGGAACATGCCATTCAGTGCAACAATGTGACTCGTTGATGAGTCTTCAACAACAATACAGCTCCAAGGTATAGAGAGATAAACTACAGTCAGGCTTTGTCCACACAGACAATACTTGTGAGGATGTTTTTGTTGTTTTTAACAGGATTTCTTGACAATAAAGAAAACTATCTGCAGACTTATCCTTCAATGCGACTGGCTGAGGCAACAGTCAGCAGCATCCGGAGCAGATTACCGTAACCTGACGTTCACAAAGCTCTTGTCTAGTCGGCGGTTTGGTTCAGGTACGTGTGAAACTGATGTTATCAGCTGAGCTGGTGAAAAGGAACATCTGTCTCTTTCTCTCCTTGTGATTTGATGACATCAAAATGTATGATTAAACATTAGAAATGTAACACTCACACATCAGGGTCACGAAAAACATCAAGCCTATTGAGACAATGTGGGTTGCACAACTGCCGTCTCCCACACAAACACACACCCTTGCACCCTTGTGCACACATACTCACACACACAGCAGCAGAGATGGGAGTTTGAAACTTTCACCGCAGATCATGCATTGTATGGGAATCTACCAGCACTACCAGCTATTTCTAAACAAATACGCAAGAAGAGATTTCTTTTTTAGCGTTCGCAAACAAAAAAAGGTTCCAGCCTTTTAACCTCCTGCAGCGCACATCAACACAACCCACATCCTCTGTGACAAGGCTGTCATTATACAGCCATCGACGTGGCACCTGTAGTGACACAAAGAATTCACGCGCACAGAACCAACACACATCCTTCCTCCGTCTGCGCTGCACTGTCGGGAGCAGGAAGCGCTGGAGAGCGGAGATACATCTCCCCAAAAAGGACGCGGGGTGTGGGCGGTCAGCAGAGGACGCGTTGTTTGTGTGACGTTCGTGTGAGCTTTGGGTGTGTTTTACAAGCATCAAAACACCTCTGAGAAAGACTTTTTTCGCAACGTAAATCTACATGAGTTTCTGCTGTCTAACATTTTTCTGTTTGTCTTGAAACTCTCTTTTTCTTTGATATTGCTTCGTCTTTCTGTCATCAACTCCAGAAGACTGTACCCTGATGCTTATATATCAGGAACTGCGTGTCTCCAAAAAAGGACACATTGACAGCACATTTAGGCCACAAGGAATATTATTGCATGGCTCAAGGTATCAGTGTTGTTTATGATCAATAGTCAAAATGAAGGACAAGAGGAAAGAGAAACTTTAGCTTGGCTGTGGGGAGATATCCGTCTCTGGACCCTTTTATCTAGCAGCCATCACGAGCTCCTGTTACAGCTTTTGGGCAGGTATTCATCCTTTTATGTAACGGCAGAGCTGCTTTTAGATACGAGTCAGTCACTTGTGACCGTCAGAACGAGTTCTGCAACAGTGTCTAACGTTTCATGCAGAAGTGGTCTTTGAAACTGTTCACCCAGGCTGAGATAATAATAGACACAAGCTACTTTTTCCTCGACTTGAAAGGCCGTCTGACTGTCTGAGACGAAGCTTTTTGAACTCGCAGGATGTGCTCAATTCAAACATTCCTTAAAATCATGATGCAACATGAAATATAAAGTAAAAAGTATAAGTCCTGCCACGGAGGGGATGGGAGCAAACTGAGAGAAACATAATGGTGGCCTCAGAGGTGTTCAGACTTTGAATTACGGTCGTTCGGGTTTATGGTCGTGACTCGATGAAGTTGAAGCATGCGAGCTACTCACTTTGTGCGCCTCCGAGTGAGCGTCTGTCAGATAGCCGGTCTGCGTGTCTGTCAGAGAGTGTATCTCTCCGCTGCTCCCCTCATCCAGGTCGCTGTCCTCGTCCTGCGTCGAGTCTCGCTTGTTGCCCAGGGTAACGCAGCAGGACACGCTCTCCGTTTCTGTGACGCTGTCGTAATGGTCCTCCTCGTCGATGGCGTCCTCGTTGGGGAACGCCTCCCCCTCCGCGGCGCAGGACGGGCTGTCGATGCCGCTGTCCCGGTTGGGAATCTTCCCGTTCTGCTCCGAGGAGTCCGGATTGTCCAGGAGCTCGTGGGAGGAGCCTTCCTCGTCAAGGCAGCCTACGCCGTGCGCAATGTCGCAGTCGTCCAGCGGGGCGTCGTCCGAGCCGTCGATGTGCACGGAGGCCAGGCGGGAGAGTTCGGACGCCCTGTGAGTCCGTTCGGAGGCGCCAAGTGCAAGTTTGTCCGCGGCGGAGGAGTCTCCTGCGACCTTCGCCGTGGGGTCCTGGCCGCAGGAGGAAGTGATGTCAGACGCAGAGTCCATTCTCAGACACAAGTGCAGCTGGGACCGTGGGAGCACCCCCAGGATGGGAACCCTGGGAAAATAAATAAAAACACTGTCACACCTGCTTTCATGAAAAAGTGCATTATTAAAACACTTATTTTCATGGAAAAATAATAAGAGAATGAAAGTCTTTCAGATATTCTTAAATTTCATCATCAAGTGATGAAATTCAAGCAAACCACAGAAACTTCTCTTTGTATGTCGACACACACATCCACACATTTCCGAACCATTACAGAGCAAAATATGACTCCGACGAGCCTGAAAGCCTCACCTTGAATTCTCGAACCTCTCGATGAGCAGCCCCACCTTCTGGGCCTCTTTCTGCGGCTGCGCTCCCAAGCCAGGAGGGGTGAAACTGGGCTTTGGTTTAGGCGGAGGAGGGGGAGCCGGCAGGGGTCTGGAGGGCGGCGGAGGGATCCTCTTCGGTTTCTTGTCTTGCCCGAGGGCGAGCAGGTGCGAAGGTTTAGGGGGCACTACGGACGCAGAAGTCCAGAGGAGGCAAGAACAGCAGAGCAAGAGAGAAGCATGAGGCTGCAGACATTTACAGGAATGATCAGGTAACGCGTAGAAGTCCAAGTGAGAAAACCTCCATGGCTGAATTCATATGTCGTTTCCTCGTAAAAAAAAATAAATAAAAATGAAAAAAAAGACACAAAACTCTCAAAAAAGGAACAAAACAGTCCAGGATAGAAACAAATAGTAGCGGTGCAGAGCGAGACCAACACTGAGCTGCAGCTATCTGCCAACTTCCTTATTTCAGAACAGGATGCTGACATGAGCATGTGCGTAAGTCATCGCGGTTCCAGTTAGAATGAAAAAAAAAAAAGAGTGAAAAAAAGCACAGACATAGAATGCTCTCATGCATGGCTGCACACTATGGGCTCACCATTTCACTGTCTAGTCGGTATATTTGCATATATTTAGTTTTCAGGAGCCTAAATGTCTGGAACAAGGACATGTGATGATGTGTTAATAATTGGAGCACTTCCTCTGTGTCACTGAGACAAAGAGAGAGAGGTTGAGGAGACTTTTTTTTGATTGGTCCATTTTCTCCTGAGAATGAAGGTGAAGATGTTCACAGACACCTTTTGTCATATAATTGAGAAGTTTCATGCTTTAACATTTTCTGACCTCCAGAAACCTTTTGAGGGACTCAGGAACTCGCCTTGCAGTACCTGCAACGTTTGTCCTGCTCCCCAAAATACCCGCGCTCCAGAGTTACTACTTCATCCTGTCCGTATTAAGATGCACTACCATTATTAGAATTGTGCTTAGAAATAAAGTAGCTCATTCTGCCAACTGGTGAAATACATGATATGATTAGATTCCTTTTCTTTAAGCACATCATTATTCTGGTATTCAATTTTGATAAAAGGTATTTTTCTACTTGACAGAATACTTTACTTTTTAAAAGCCAATTCATGTTCCTGGTAGTTCGTTTTTATATATTTATAAACAGACTTTTATTCTACGAGTAACTAGGAACTATGTGGATGCAGCACTAGACGTGGCCATCACTGAAAGTACACAACAAAGGACAAAAACTTAATTACATGAGAAGTATATCATTGTAAATTGAATGTTGTCGGGGTTTTATGGCAAAACTAGCAAATTGAACTATGTTACCTTTGGATCTGGGATTTTTTTCATGGGCAATGAATCATTAGTCCTTTAATTTGTCATGTATGTTGAGATGCTAATCATGATCAAATAGTCATGAATAACAACCCTGAATAGTTGTGAGCCACTTTAATATTAAGGCTAAGTCTCTAGCGTGATGTCCTACAATGTTTCTCAGTAAATCCCAAAACACGAGGCATGTTGCTCGTATTCTTTTAACATTCTTAAGAAGCCGCCCAAGCATCAACACTTGGGGACCAGCGGCTCCTTCAGAGGTGACCTACTGAGCTGTGTGAGTGACAGAGTGAGGTCAGACAGCTGACACGAGCCATGTTAGAGAAGAGTGTTTGTCGGAGCAGAATAAATGACGGCTCAGTAGCAAGAGGTTTGATTCCCGCTGCACCTTTCAATTATAATGCCAATGTCAAATGTGGCCTTCACCTTGAGGTTTCTGTGCGGTTGGCGGTCTGGGTGAGGTGGAGGGCTGGGGCCGGGGTTTGATGGCGGGCCTGTCGTGACATTGTCTGGGAGTCGGACCTTTCTTCGCCAGCCGTGGAGAACACAAGTAGTCCACCGATCCGCACTGGTACTGCAGAGAGGAGGCAGGGAGGTCTGGAAACATGAAGAAAAAGACAATATCAGGTATCGATCAGCATAATGAGATTCATCGTAACACACACGTAGTCCCGCCACGGCGATGCGGTGGCGTTGCGCTCGTGGTGGCGCTGTCGGTGAGCAACCTTGAGCCCAGTGTGTGTTTCAGAAAGTCGACCGCGGACAGAGAGCAGCGGGACCAGAGAATCTCTGCAGCATCGATCCTTACACCAGGCCTGAGGCAGCAGACACTGAGCTGCATATTGGTTTCCCTCACACTCTCTGTATCTGACCGGCCACATCTAATCTTCTCTGGTCACTGTCTGCAAATAGAGTGCGGGCGAGTGAGAGAGACTCTGGACTGTATTCAGTTTCATTCATTTATTTTTACTGATTTATATCTAAAAATACTCAATTTAAAGACACAGATTGATTTCAAGTAATAAGACCAAAACCTATAAGCACTAAGCTCATTTGTTTCTACTAAAGACGGAAATCTTAAACCTGCAATAACTGATAATTTGGCCACTTGGATGAAGACAACGTTGACATATCATCATCTTTTAAGACGATATGGCAAACAGTTGTTTACACATCCAGCAGTCAGTAAACCCCAGCTTGAGTAAAGTAACATGTATTTATTGGGGTCCATTTACACCACCAGGACGGTGCATTTGGGATAAACTAAAGATAAACTACACTGCCCATGTTTATGGTCATAAAGGAGCGCGTCATCCAGTGCAACAGTGCGGTTCAATGATGAGTCTGTGGACAACAATGGAGGTACTGTGTGTAATATCAGGCTTCAGCTGCTCAGGCAGTTCTTGTTCATCTCTGCTGCTGTAAGAAGTCCAACTTGTGATGATGACAGCTCATTCATGAAATGAATCAGTAAGTAAGTAATAAAACAAGCAGCAGTTAAACCATTAATATATTATTATTAAGATAAGCCCTGTAGTACACAGTTCAACTGACTCTTAAAGGTACGTGGGTGATTATGCAGTGATGAAAACATCTCTGCTAATAGATCATCTTTCAACTATCAGTTACTTTGTAATGAAATCATATATCGAGATATCGTGATATGCAATTTACGTCATCTAAATTGATAACAAGCACAACTCAAACATCTCTGAAAATCTGATTATTATGCACTAAAGTTCTTCAGTAAAACAGAAAATACTAAGTATAGAACTTACACAGGAGTAATCAAAACCATGTGCTTATTTCATATAAATATACCTATTTATTGAATTACCAGAAAACATTCTATATCGAGGTATGAAATGACTTATATCGTGAAAGAAGATATATCGGTCTTCTCTAACTGTACCTTTAAATCCAGAGAGAGAGACAGATGCAGGGTAGAGGTTGTATAATATAAATATGCCACTAGTCTTACAGTCAGCTGCAGATACACGTCCCGTCAATGGGAAAGAAACCCAGCTTCTGCAACAATAAATGCTCTGTGAGTGTTTGTGTGTGTCCATTCATGTATGACCTCATGAACCACACATTGTGGATGCAGTGGCAGCTTTTTTGCCAGTTTTTAATCCGATGCGTCCGTCCATTAGGACAAAGTGACGTCCCTCAGTAGATTATGTTAATAAGTATGCAAACTACAGCCACACACACGTCCGTTCCTCTCGGCCTCGTGGATTCGTTCTAGTCACCCCGACTCTTTCTCAACTGGATTACAGCCCAAAATTGCAGCGAGTCCCCACTAGAGCCCCCGCACAACTAATTTGGTGTTTTTCAGCCGTGCTGCAGGCAGTGGCAGAGGAGAAATCAGTCAGTAATGAGTCCTGTTACGCTGTCGGGCCCCATGTGGCCAACACACACACACACACACACACACACACACACACACACCGCACGGTTTCCCACCATCTCTGCACCACAGCGGAATAGAAGCATGCGGAGGTGAAGAGATGAGGCTCGAAGACAAGTCTCAACTCCATAGGGTACGGAGATAAAAAATAATAAAATGTGAAATTGTGTTTTCCCCGCGGATGATCACAAATCCTACACTGTGTAGGTTTTATAGTCACTGTCGGGCTGTCCTTGAAGTTTGTCCTGACCAACAGCGATATAGCGAGCCCCACTTTGTGGTAGTTTCTGCTAATACGTCTCTAAATCAGACAGGACTCGAGGGTTGAGTCAAAGGAAACGCTCGACCTGTGATCAAGTGCGTGATCGGGCAGTAAAAGCCGAACGACGGCGGCCTGGTGAAGAACTCCGTGACCCGAGACCGGCTTGGGGGGGGGGGGGGGGGGGGGGGGGGTCGCTCCTGGGAAAGACAAACAGCCGTGGAAGACGGAGACATAGGGGGCTGGGTGCCTATGGAAACTTGCTGTAGCCATGGTTACCTGAGAGTAAAACCTGGCCCTCATGTGAAACTGCCGAACACCAAACAGGAACTTGACGACACAGCAGAGTGCAGAGCTGACAATCACGGGTTTTTCCTTCATTAAAAATCTCACGACAGGAGATACACAGCGAGTACAGAGTAGATGAAGAAGTACATTAAATCTCTTATCTTATTGTTGAACTCTAAACTCTCTCTGATCTAAAGGGTTCCAGACGTTAAAAGCTGGCAATAATGCAGAATAGAAAAGAGTTGCGTTAATTACCTTGCCTCCAACCGTTCAGTTTCACATATCCAAAGTCCAAAGAGCAATGAACGGAAAAATCCCACACAGGACCCAGTCGATATGAAAACAAACCCTGCCCTCCCAGTCCGCCAAAGTGCGCGTGTGCAACTGGGTGTAGACTGAGCTTTGTGGCAAAGCAAAACACACACACACCCTAAAAAAAAAAAAAAAAGTACTTCAAAGCCAAGTCACACACACACAAACACACACACACACATTCAGCTATCCATTTCCCGTTGTGTTTGAGAAGCTGCACCTGTCTGTTCACCTGCCAAACCTGATCCAAGTTCCTCCTCCCTGAGACAAAGTGAAGTGCGCGTGAGTCACCGCGGGGCCCATCGACCCCGGCACGCTCTCACAACTGGGCCACAGCGTTTGTGTTGGAAGCTATAGGAGGCGGGCGCCTAATTGATTTGGACTCTGAGGGATGAGATTAATGTTGTAATTGTGTCATTTTAAAGAAGGCCTCTTGTGAGAGCACTCAGGAGAACACTGATCCGAGCTCATTACTTCCCTCCGCTCAGCTCCAGCTATACTGAGATACGGTTTGAATAAGACAATTAGAGAAGAACTACAGATTCGAGGATATTATCACCGCCGCACCCTGTAAGGCTGTGGGTCACCATGACTAACCATTCCTGCTATTATTAGTCACTGAATATCCCTTGAATTAGGAAACCCTGGCAACAAATAACTCCTCCCCTGTCCGTTCATGGATGTGATATAACTGGAGAGATAAAAGAAGGAACAACAAACGGAGAGCACGGGGAACAGTTTGGGTCGTAACCTGAAAGACGGCATTACAGTGCATTCCTTTCCATTCAGTGAAATGAAGCTGTGTACTGTACGCACGGAAATATCCAGGTACTTTCAGGTATTTAAAGAGGATACTCTCACCTTATCGTCTTCTGTCTCAGTGAAAACAGGGTTCTGCTTAGAAATTGTGACAAATTGATCATAGAGTAATTTAATAATAAAAACTGGCACAGCTACCAGCCAGCAGGGACTAATATTCACATTTGAAGGATGACACACATTATTCAGAGTTTCGGCCACTTCAGTTGTAACGTCATCCAACCTGCCTGTGCTACCATGTGACGTGACTTGGGGGTGTGTTCACAGCTTTTCCACAACATTACAACCTAATCAAAATACTCTGGTACATAAACTACCATTTCAACAGTAATGTCATCCTGAACGTCACTTTTCCGAGGCCTTTCAGACAGCAATATTATCTATTTTTGTGGAGCTCCGATAGATAATAAAAAGTGAGAATGATGAAATCATTTTTCAGGACAGCAAAAGGCTTTCCAGGACTTTTGACCCTTTCTCTAATTTTCCATGTTTTTCCATGAATGGAAAATTGGTCAACTGTTTTCCAGGTTTTCCCAGGACGCATTGGGAACCCTTGAAGTGGGATGCTGTGACACGCTCACAAGAGAGAAACCTAAGGAATGTCGCTCTCATGTCACCACCTGACAGCAGCGTGTCAATGTTTTCGGCATTCTGCATACTAGTGCCAATACTGCACGCGAGTTTCAGTACAAATGCAAAAACAATTGTTTTCTATTGTACTACTTGGTACAGACAGACATTCACATCCAACCGCAGGATGAATTGTATTTAACCGGCTGTAATAACTAACAAAAGAAAGACAAGTTCTCTCATGTTAATTAGCAGCAATTTAAATCAGGAACGATCTGATCAAAGAATAAAAGTAAAAAAGATATGAATTAATATCAGCTTTGGCGTATACATATTTGATACCTTGTAGAGCTTCACAATCAATATTAATTCAGATCAAGATTTCGGCTTCCCACAACAAATAAAGATCGACTGCGATATTGACTTTGATTTAAAATATGTGCTATGCTCATGGAGAACTAGGCTGCGTATGAAATCAAGCACTTCCCAAAACCAAGAGTAGAGCAGAAGAGTAATATCTCGTATATTACATGCACGTCAGGGAGCCGACGGGCAAAACCAAAACGCACTGAATTTAGGTGAAGAACCTTATTTTTGGTCGTATTTTGATGCAAAGATCTCCTTCAAAGCAGTTCTCTGTTCATTTAAAAGTGAAATGCAATATAAATATTTTGTACCTAAAAAAGAATGATTGTGGCAAATAATCGTATTACTAAATATAACCTATTTCATTAACAAATTGTCTGCAGAACTAACCCATAATTTGCAGAACTTCCATGGTAGCTAATCGGACACAGCAGCTGTTATGTTTAAAAACAAACATTTTGGAACAAACTTCACTTTCTCGTTGCTCCATTTTCTTTCAGCGCCCAAGAGACGCACAGACTCAAACGCACGTATGAAATTGCACAGAACTAGCTGGCTGTCAGTCACCGTCGG